AAACAAGAAACTTCGCGAATTTCGAGGAAAAGTAGGAAAAGTAAATGTTGGACGAGATTACCATGGGGGGAAATAACAATGGAAAAGCTATTTGGACGAGATTTCAGTTGTTGCGCAAAGCGCTGACTACATCAAGCCAGAAGTGTACAGGACTGCCTTTGACTGTCGCATAGGTCATGAGTCAAGTTGTTTGAACTTCCCACATGGGTTCTTTTTGATCGACGCAGCCTCTACACTGCCTGTGAAACTCGTCCGACGAACGCACGATACAATCTTTGAGCCTTTGTGTCGACCTAACTAGGCTGTTCTCCGACGTGATAGCGCTAGATATGGTACACAAAGGGGCCTCAAATTCATCCTGTGGGGGAATCTCGGAAACCATTTTTATCGTGGACGTGTCTTTAAATCAGTCATGGTGATATGCATCGACTGAATGATGTTATAACGGTGGTTCCTCGGCGATTGGTTCCCTGGCTTTCCTTTCTCCTTACCATGCCAAGTACTTTGTGGAAGGGACGTGAAGCGAAGAATGACATACTGGAATCGTTCATTCAACTCCACTACCATACGATGACTTCAGAAAGTGAAAGTCGTCCCAGAACACGAGATCCCTGTTGATGTCAAAGGAAGAGAGGAACTTGATTGTAAGAGAGGGCTTTGAAAAAGGTGGTGTCACACTTTCAGGTACAATCGGTTTTCTAAGTCTTCTTACCATTAGTCCGAGCCAACAGTAAGATAAATAGCATAAGGGCTTAGCATACCGCCTATTACTCGATTAGTAGGGCAGTTCCAGTGGGCTTTGTTATAGGAACGGCAGCTTCACTGATGGCTGTGATCGGTTGGATGTTGTTATATTTTTGGTACGCGTTTTTCAACAGCTTTGATCTCCTCAAACCATTTCCGTTCGGTATTCGAATGTTGAATTGCCTGAATCCGGATATCGCCATGGCATACGGTATCACGTTGCTGGCAGAATTCGAAACTCAAGGTAAGAATAGTAGAGTAGATAGATTTTACACTAGATACAGAAAAAAATAAAAAGTTATAGAACAAAAATATGGAGATAGGCAAACTATAGAAATAGTTGGAAAAAACACATATCGAGAACCAGACACAGATCCAGGATTAGAAATATGAGATTCTGGACGAGACATAATTTTTAAAATTTTGGTAAAGTTGAGTGAGATGAGGCAAGGGTAAAATATTAAAGGGAGGGCGAACGGTTGAAAAATTCACCTGATTTCCTTTCATTTTGAAAAAAAACTGTTTTCATCCAGCCGACGGTCTCCAGTGGAGCACACTCTTCTCTCCGCCCACACCTGATCAAAGGCTTACGGTCGGTCACTGCATTATAATGCTTATCGTCGACGGAATTCTCCTGATGATCATCACCTGGTACGTCGAAGCTGTCTATCCTGGTGGTGAAGGCGTACCTCAAAAACCATGGTTCTTTCTACTTGTGAGTATTTTTACTGAATTCCCACCAAAGAAATTTAGAAGCCTTTGGCATTAAACACTTCCTTTCTGGGATGCGTCCCCGTATTCACAACCATTCAGAATCGCTAGGGTGGCTCGAATGCGGGGTAACGGTACCTCCCCGAATTCCCACAACCTGCGGCAGTTGTTCCGCGGCGACTACCCGTATCCTTCCATTGAGAATTCAAATCATTCCCTTCGTATCCTCCCAGACAAGCCTGGGACCAATTAACCGATATAATAGGAATGGAAGCTTTGGTAGGCTTGGGCGAGTATCGATCCGAGATTCGGCCCGAAGCGAGCCACTCGAGCCACGAGCCTCCGCGCCATTTCCATCTTCAACTAAATGCTATATTATCTGCATAGGGTTGGTGTACATTATACTTTGTCTATGCTCCCTTTCTCAAAATAGTCGAAAAAGCATCTACTTCAGAGCAACTTGAGCTTTTAGCCCGATACAGTCGGTTTACTTGGTACTTTCACCTTCCATTTGTCATTACATAGTCACAGTAAAGACATTTATTAGTAACTATGCTTCCTGAGTTACTACTTTTTATTGAGACGGTAACACCACCACCTAAACTTTACTCGCTGGGTAACGGTGTTCCTATAAGATCAAATGTGTCAACTCCTCCCATTTCTTCCAGAAATCTTACTGGTTCCCATACAGTCAAGTGAGAAAGAGTGTCGCTTCACAAGCTGTAAGAGATGTTCCATCAGAAGAAAGAGAGTTTGTCAAGTTGGAACCGGAGCCAGATCTGAAGGTAAATCTGAGTTATTATCCTCTTTTCTAATCTCAAGTAGTATCTGATTTCAAGGCAACGATTAATGTGGTAGGCCTGTCAAAAACTTATGGGACCTCGATCTTCAAGAAGCTCTTTGACTGCCGGTTTGGAAAGCTGAGCGAAAAGAAAGCCGTGGATGACTTGAACCTAAAGATGTATCACGGTCAGATAACTGCCCTATTGGGGCACAATGGGGCCGGAAAAAGCACAACATTCAGCATGCTGACAGGTATGGCGGCGTCAGCCTTCAATACAGAGAATTCCTCTTAAGGCCTTCATTCAGGTGTGACTTCGCCATCGTCGGGTACCGCATATATCGATGACTACGATATCCGGACTAGCTTATCTCAGGTGCGGAAGCAAACCGGCCTGTGTCCGCAGTACAACATTCTGTTCAATTCGTTGACAGTTATGGAGCACTTGGAGTTCTTCTGTAAACTGAAGGTACTACTTTTTATTATACCAAACCAGTTATTGTAGACTTTTCCTTCGGAAGAACATGCAACCAGTCTAAGTGCAGACTACATAACTTTATTGATCGTGCTACACTGAAGTTTTTTTTTAATAAAACGTACTTACAGCGTAAGCACGACGAGGCTAAATTTTCAAATTACCTATCAGCTGTATTGTAGACCGTTCCAGGGCCGCGAGTATTTCGAGAAGGAGGCGATTGACATCCTCACTCGACTCAAAATCGACTTCAAAATGCATGCCAGAGCTGGCACTCTATCCGGTGGTCAGAAGCGGAAGTTATCGTTAGCTATCGCTCTCATTGGAGGATCTGAGGTAGGTGTGGAACGTTTTCATGCATCAAAAACGGTAAGAAAAGTAACTAGTAGGTGAGTCCGTAGTGAGTAAGCCTAAGCCGAACAGTCATGGAATGAAGAGACCATCAACTAGAAACTGAAAGTCCATAGTTCGTGCTGTAGGAGCTGTGAAGAAACAAAAACAAGTTCAATCTTTGGTTAGCCTTAATTATGGCATATGACGAGCTGGGCCATTAAAAACGCTTCTGGCGCTTATTGATTGATTGATTGATTGATTTGATTATACACCGTACACCGAATTTTTCCGAACATACAGCTTCAAATAAGAATTCCAGATAGTTATGCTCGATGAGCCAACATCAGGTATGGATCCTGGAGCACGCCATGAGACATGGACTCTTCTACAGGCCGAAAAGAGCAGAAGGACGATTTTGCTGACAACGCACTTCATGGAAGAGGCAGATCTGCTTGGCGACAGGTGTGAACTGATCCAGTTCTTGACTAGCGAACACTTAGCTCGATTAGTTTCAGAATAGCTATCCTGGCCCATGGACAGCTCCAATGCTGTGGTTCGGGAATGTTCCTAAAGGCGCAGTATGGTAAGTATTTATTGGTATGGAATAGTATCATGGTTCCGGTACGAAAACCTTTCATTGCCCTGTAGGAGCTTTTGTATCTTTTGTAGGATGTCCGAAGGGGTAGCGCTAGACCCGTGAGATGGTTTTAGGTCCGAATTACTTGCTCAAACTTCCGAAGATCGCGATGAGCGATTTATTTATTTATATTTTTCCTGGCAAAAGATAGGTGGTCCTTCAGTGCACAGAAAACACACGACCAGCTGGGGCTGTTCACCATTGCTTCTAGCTTATGACTTCACAATGAACAACGGTGAAAGCTAGATACGTAGGCGGCTCGGTGATGAAGAGCACCAAACACTCAGACCTTTAGAGGTGTCTAGGTGAGATATGTAGTTCCGATTCAGGTGCCGGCTATCACCTAACTGTGGTGTACGAGAGCTCGTCAAAGCCCGACCANAGCGATATACATCTTCAGTCTCTCGCCGGTCAAGAGGCAACGTTCATAATTTCGGCCAAATGCAGAGCACAGTAAGCCTTTTGTGATTCTTCGACCATCGCTCTGAACAAGACCAAAGCTGGATATGGATGATCTTTCTTGATTTCAGGTTCTCCGAAATGTTTGCTGATCTCGAAAATGCTCATCACAGCCTGGGAATCTCATCCTATGGTATGTCCATTACTACGATGGAGGAGGTATTTCTCAGGTTAGTTTTGTAACTTCATTTCCCTCTCACTGTTGATTCCAGTATTAATGAGGATCCTTCCAGAGTGGGGGACCTCGCGCAGGAACGTTTAAATCAGGAGAATGGCGAGGAGAACGTGGAGACGCCTGAGCTCGAAAATGACCCATTCCTTGCACGTATGTCATTCCTTCCTTCATGATTTCGAATTGAACAAGCACTACAGTGAAGCCGAGCTGCGAGCTTCTGTAGGCGTGTAGGTTTTGTCTTCACCTAAAATATGTCCATCTCGACATGATCTTTCTATGAAACCGTTCGAGGGATAGAAGGTGTAAACAGGCACCCGTTGATCTGGCCTCTCTCTTCTTTTTCCTCTTCATCACCTCTATCTTTATCTCTAACTCTACACCTACCTCTACCTCTGACCCTACCTCTACCTCCACATCTACCTTTACCTATATCTCCAGCTCTGCCTCTTGTTCTCCTCCTTCTTCATTGTTTCCCTTTGACTCTTCCTCCTGACCCTATTCTCGTTCTTCAACCACTTCTTCTTTACCTGAAATGTTACGATGTCAGTAATACTCTGTCTGTCAAAGTTCCCATTACTGTTTTACCTGTAACTTTCTACCCTGTTATCTCCAGCTCATCGGTATCTTTATCTAATAGCCATGATCTTTCGCATAGTTTCATTTCCCTCACATCTTTTCCTACCCTCTTCAGCCACTATACTCCCATATAGGGAAAATTTTGAATTTTTACGGAACGCTCATTTTTTGGTGGAGAGAAAATAATTTTAACCAGACTGGGACACCATGAAAATGTCGGGTTTAGCTGGGTACGGTAGTTCCAGCGTACCTGTCGCCCATTCACAGTGCCCAGAGTGATTATGCCCCTCCCAGATTGCTGAAAGATCCATTTCCAGAATTGAGGGTCACACAACGTCTGAAAGGTCTTCCGTACTATTGGCAACAAGTAGAGGCAATGTTCATCAAGCGCACAATCTTTTTCTTTCGAAAATGGATAATGTTCATTATGAATCTGCTGTTCCCGGTAAGGATGAAAATCCTTTCTATTCTTTCTTCACAATTCTTAACAATTTTTTCCAATAGTTGGTAAATAGCCAACTCTCTGGTTCTAAATGAACCCTTCTCTCTCATCAACTCGAAGATTCACTAGTACTCTCACTCAGATTCTGTACATGGCGCTTATGGTGTGGACTACTGGCTTTGTGCCGTCTCCTACGGAACAGCCAAGTCTTAAGATTGATATGTCACCATTTGGTGGAAAAAGTGGCAATGGATACGTCCTCTGTTCAAATCACACAGATCGCCGTATCAACGATGGATTCGACTTGAGCAGGTCAGTGGAAATAATTTCTCTAAGGGAATGCTGTTGAAAAGCAACAAAGTAGCACTGTTGCACGTGCGTAGTTTGGGGATCGAATCCTGAATAGAACCTCGCCAGGACCAACTAGGCCCTCTAGGACCAGTCAATAGGTACCAGACTCGTCTTGGAATTAGAAAGCACCTACTCGTACATCGGCTGGCCAGTGCAATTCATGCCACATGTGCATTCAAACCGCCAATACGATTTTGAATGAAAGTCCGACGCGGAGCGCATCCCAAACCACCTAGGTTAACGCCAGAGATTTTGGCTTCAATCCTTCTTATGGCCTAGTTGTAAGGAATCATTCGTGAGTTCTAGCTCCTGCACAAGTCAGCCAGGATCGGGTAAGTCTAGTACCAATCAATCACGTTCCTCGAAAGGTCTATAACGTTTGGTGGCTGGGCTGATAACAGTCTGGTATATAGTAATCGGAGCATGTCTCTGCTAGGGCTTTCATTTGGCATTACATGGGATCTATCCCAAATCTGTCTACCCCATTCCTTTCTACATATCATCAGTGTTCGCCAACCTTCGGTACCCATCGAATCATCTCTTCTAGTCAACGATACCACCCACTCCACCACACTACTTAAATAAGTCAACAGAGACGGTAGTCAATGCATAAGCCTGAGAGTAAGGTGTTTCAAAAACTTCTTGCAGATCACTGCGTGCAACGATGACTCGACTTGCTGCACCATCTAACGTCTACATAGAAACAGTACAGAACGTGTCCTCATACGTTGTGAAACTGATCCCTGCGGTCCGTGATTTTTTCTGTAGCTACCAGATTTTGATTGCCAACTACCACCATTTGCAGATTGGATCACAAAACTTTGGCATCCACTATCCTTTAGCATTCGAGCGGAAATTTATGCAGCCAGGATCACCCAACATTCGAGGTAAGTGTACCAACTGCAGTACTATAATACGTTTAAAAACACTACGTATCATACAGTTCTAAAGTCCTTCCCAAAAAACAACTAACTGTTCCGCAGTTCGCTGCAATACAGATTTTTACAAGCACGCTTTTCTCTTTTCAACTTTGGGTTTGTGAATCATTAGCAAAAATATTTGGTGGTCCTCTTACTACAACCTCCCCCATGATTTACCCAATAAACCATCTAAGGTTTTTGCAACTGTAAATTTGACTGGTTTTCCAGGGTAACGGAACTTCTCCCCTATCGCGGCATTCTCCCTTGCGGCATGCGGAAAATGTCACTGCAATTACCGTACTCACCCCGCCTCCCGCCAATCGATAGGACGCGATATTTTTCGTTGATTGGCTTGCTTTTTCATTAGATTTTATCGTTTTTTCTTCTGTTTCTTTTTATGTTTATCAGACTTGATGATTGAAATGACTCCTCTTATATAAACGACGATCAATACCGCATTGAAATTGAAAGGAGCGACCAGTCAATTCAAATAATTAAAGGACTCCCTACCACACAAATTGCGCGCTCCAATCTTCCATCGCAACCCTGCTATAGGCGGCGGGTGCGGCGTGTGCGACGCCGTGTTAGGGGAGAAGTTCCCGGACCCGGTTTTCCAAGGTAGTGGCCATTTGGAAGTTTCCAAGAATCACTTTTACTCAACAAAAGGCAAAGGGAGATGAGTCAAGAAGTACAGTCATCAAACCGCAGTCTACTGCATTCAGTAAAGCTTTCAGTGTCCAGGATTCGTAAAGACTTCTTTTTTTTTAAGAACTCCATCCAGTTCAACCCCTTTGAATTTGCTCTCGAAAAGGCAAGGTAGCTAGGCTACTGTTTTGATGACTCCATAGTTTTTCCGATACCCTCCGGTAACAGAAACGTAAGCCTGGAAACCGTGATAACAACTTTAACAATATCAAGATCTAGGTTACATTTTACCGCCATAGAATTAAATTTGGATGTTGTATAGGTGTGATGTTTGTGATGCTGTTGACTACTATCCCATTTTGTTCCCATTCACGACACTCCCAACACAACACCCATTCACAACACATTTTCCAGCATTCTTCAACAATTTCGCCTTCACCACTCCTCCTTTGGCTATAAGTGTCGCCGACTCGATGCTCATTTCAAATGCTACTGGGAAGAGTATCACATTAGAGGTAATGCTAGACTGGATCTTATTTTGAAAATGAGTAGTATAGAGAAAACTCCACAGCTTCTTTAAAATGAACGAGCAAGAAGGTTAATATCAAAGTAATGTCTGAAAGAGCTAAATATCGCTAGAAAATGAAAGAGGATTCACCAATTTTTTNAGTAAAGCAACCGCAAAGCCCGTAATTCACTGTTTTTTCTTGGATTGAATCACCTATGCATTCAAGCTTTTTTGTTGAATAGTAGGGACAATTTTCATGGTCAAAATGGTTTCTAAAATTTCTCTTCAGGGCATAGTCTCCGATGCGAAAACGCCTTAGATACGGGGAATAAGGACCCAAAACCCGCTTAGCCGACATACAATTCCAAGGGCTCACGAGTTCTCTCGGCGTTATTGAGGCTGAAAAGGCAGCCTAGTGTAGCCAGCTACACTCAATGGTCTACAAATTTGGACAGCTAGTTCAAATACCCCTTCCAAGCAAAAAATTGATTTGACGTCTTATTCCCGTGCGACCAACCCTTGAACTTACTACTTTTTGAAGCCAATGAGCTGGCTTTAGTGTTTTCTTCCCTGCTTTCGCATAATTCTGAAATACCACGCCATTATTCGTTTGAAACTAGATACCACAGAATTACTGTAAACTAGGGCACTTTTAAATGTGTATTTCCGTACGCATATGTTTGCATTCTTACGTTTTTCGGTCGATTCCATTTTCAGGTGAAGACTCCTGTCCTCTGGGTTAAGTATTCCTTTGAGGGTATGAAATGAATTAATAAATAAACTAGGCCTTCAATTCACCTATCATTCACATGGTAGCTGCGATTTTGTCTTTGTTGCTCTATTCTGTATAAGAGCAAGCCTAGTAAACTTCGACAGATAAACAATAACAAGAACAATTTTTCAGGTGAGCAATCAACCATTTCCACCGGTCACTGAGGATGTGCTGAAGAATCGGAACTATTCAGATAGTGCTGCATTCATGATTTCATACGCGGTGATTGTCTCTATGTCCATCGTAGTCGCCGCATGTTGCCAATTTCTGATACGGGAACGAAAGAAGAAAAGCAAGCATATGCAGGTACGGTATTGCAGTATGTCGTACCGTATTAAATAGTGTGGGTACCGTATCCCTGAATATCCGACGTTCCAGATGCTGTCTGGAGTTAGTCCATGGATGTACTGGAGCACAGCTTTTGTCTGGGATGCCTTTTGGTTCCTTGTCAGCATCGTAGCGTTCATCGGCATATTCTATGCATTCGATATTGAAGTAAATGATAGATAATTTATCAATTCGGGCCATTTAGAGATATCACCAATATGCCTTCAGCAATACACAAAAGACTTCGGAACGGTCCTAATTTTACTGCTGACAATGGCTTTATACGGTTGGACGACTATTCCCTTTATTTACTGGTTTTCTTTCCTATTCACGTCGGCCCCTAAGGGTTTCACCCTCATAGTCATGTACAATATTATAACAGGTAAGGAGCTTTAAAGGCAAAAGCCTCCCTGTACGTGGACGAGAAGCACTTCTTTCACTTTTTTCTTGAATGTACCGTCTTTTTTAAGGTATGGTAGGATCGATAGCGATCCCTATCATACAGCAGACAGCCAACGAGGATATTGCCTTCACGTGGAGTAAAATTTTGTCGTTTTTCTTCCCGACGTATAGCATTTCGAACATCTTCGTAGTGGTTCGTGAGCTTGTATCCTTTATTTAATTTTTTTTCAACATTTCCTGGCTTATCGTATTTTCTCACACGGTTCAGTCTTCCTCGAATTAACCTTTTTGCATTACCGTATCGGCTTAAAGGCCAATTCGAGTGAAAAATTGGGGTTTCTCAATTGGAATAACATAAAGGAGTCTGGACCAGGAATTCTCAGGTGGCAGCTATCTTTGGCCAAAGTAAAATAGAGTGAACGCTGCTTATGGAGAAAATCCTCACCCACTCCCTTCCCACTAGCATTCAAGGAGGCCACATATGTCCCACATTTACTATAAATGCGAGCTTCTGGTAGAAGCAGCATGTGAGATGTAAGGGGAGACGTATCCGAACGATGTTTGGGCCTATTATGAAGGAGCAAAGACCTACCTCTGACTCGGCTAACCTTTGAAAATCACTGCATGGTGGTTTTTCATTCGCGTGTGGCAGTATTTATACCCGTCGGCAAGGGTTTCTCGTCGGTCACCGCAATTTCGCTTTAAAAAATCAGCATCAAAGTAGGTTGAAGAACCCATACCCCTGAGAGAGGTCCACTATGGTGAAAGTAATCTGTGACAAGCAGTCGCGAACGAAAGCGAGCCGGAACTGAATGCTAATGGTTGCATGGGATTCGTGCTTTCTGATGTTAAGGGTATAGATCTAGCTTAGGATATACTTATTTGTTGATAGATCTATCATGAAGGCGCAGCTTCAGATGAAGACCAATGGGTTATGTTTACCACCACATATCTATTTGAGTGAATATCCTGAATCATCAGCCCTTATTATCATTTATAAGATTCATAAATCTTCTAGATATACAACAACGAGTTCGCTAAGCAGGCTTGCCATATGCTGGATTGTTCGAGTCCTCTGTACAAAAACAATATAAAATGCTGTGGCGGAAAGGATGGTAAGTAAAAAATCAATTCAAAAAAAAACCCAGAGCGATCAGTGATCAAAAAAAGTGATCAGGTATATGGCTCATACTGTCTGGATTGAATGTAATCGAGACGCAGATGGAGTTTATCTGAATCTTAAGCGTGTAATCGGAACGCTCTTTTTTGCATCGAATTGAATTCCAATTATAAATGATAGTTTGCGATATTTTAACGATGGCAGCAGTTTCATTATGATTAAGTCATTATCATTATGATTATGACTATTTCATTATGATTAGATGACAAAAATCACGACAATTGAAGGTATCTAGTTTGGGCGGAAGGTAGAAGTATTAACCCATGATAGTGCAAAAAGGTGAAGTAAAGGGGAAAACTGGCGTACTTGGAGGTACGAAAGGTTCCAAAAAAGTATTGAAATTGGGTGTCAGACGAGAATGTGACGACAGAAGTTGTTGGAAGGGTGTTCGGACGAGCTGTCCAAATGTGTGCGCCAATGCGTACAGCTGGATGCTGCGAGCTGCCTTTGTGCAACGTGTGCTCCCCAAGACCGGTGGTGTAACCATTATAGCCTACACAACACTGTAAGAAATCATTCACGGGTGTGCACATACATCGGCAAAATCGGTCTTTAAGCCTCTATTACGCCCTGTTCAGGCCGTTTTTCGACCCGACAGCGTCTCTTGTGCTATATTTTTGTGGGTCGCATGTTTAGGGGAGAAATCTTGAGAACAATTTTAATCGTAAACTGTGCCTTCAAGACGAAAAGTATTTCAACAGTTCTTCGTTCCCATACAGCTGCCGTCCTATAAATTAGCTGATTTCTTTTTCAGATATAATTTATTCAAATAACGTCCTCACCGATTCCGGAAAGAACGGTATTCTATGGCCGACGATTTTCTTCGCATTCGAGGTAATATAATTACTGTTGACTTGTTTGAAAAACAAATATAGTTTAAGGAAAGCGAAAGCACAAGATGAAATGGCAGCTCAGTAGGCTTCTAACCGTATACTGTAACCTGGTGATTTGCCGGAATCGCTATGCCATTTGCTCTTCATTCCTTCAACAGTTTTTTTTTGCCATAATAGGGGTAGGGAACGTGTTCTACTCCATCCGTCCTACTGGAATGTGCCTTGTTTAGAACCTTAAATCAGTATAGATAGACATGTCTTCCTGCGAGTACAGGAGTTATTGTTTCGTGAGTGTGAGCGATGTTTATTTGGGGTGGTAAGGAGAGGTTCAGCCCTATACTTTCATTCTCCTCACCTGACCTAAATGCTTCCCACAAATCCGAGAAATAAATAAGCTATGATCTTTGAGATGCAGCGTGAGACATCGACACCTGTGACAATTTCATATGATGGCAAAGAATCATGATACAATAAATCGTGCAATGAATTTTCCTTTTGCAGGGCTTTCTTTATTGGTTCCTCGTGTTCAGTATCGAATATAAGTTGCGAGGAAGGCTCGTAACGTTCTGCAGAGGACTGAGACGTAGGAATCGCGTCATTGATGCAAAGGTGAGTCGCCCTTACAGACTTCCTGGTTTTGGCTATTTCAACTGCGAAAGCAAAATAAGTGGTGTGCAAAAAGTAACTTGTACTGTGTATACTGTAGTGCAGCTCTAATGTTTGTTGCCATTCCATCATGAACCGCACTTTCAAGAATACCATAAACAGTAACATTGCCTGACTCCAAATCCGGCATGAAAGCGGAATCATGTGTTGGATTTCAGTATAGTGCGTGCGGAAAGGACCAGCTGCCCGATCATCAAATCGGGAAATAGGAGCTTTCGCATAAAAATAGATGATTTTTTTTGGGGTCGGTGCAAGTTGTAAATATGGAGAACGTCTAGGTCTGCTCTTTTTGAAGTTGTTGTTCCCCTTTACTGAACAATGGTTTCAATTCGAGTAATCATCGGAGTAGCAATGAAATGAAGAGTTGAGCTGTGAGTGACGGGCGCTAGTCCCAAATGCAGAGATGACATTCCGCGCTACTCCCAGTCAGAGAACCAAATGATTGTGAAACAAAGATGCTTGTCGAGACAACCAGCTAAAAGTCGACGAGCGCTGTGTGTTGGCCGCACAATCGGGAGTTTAGCCGTCTGTGCTGTGCAGCCCTTACCGTACATCGTCCCACTTGTACACAGGAGTTGCTCCAAGAGGGCGAATCAAGTACATTCACGCTAGACCTATTTTTGATTACTGGAAAGTGCGTTTTGATTGATAAACAAAAATGGCGTTTGTCACAGTTGTCGTTTGATAATTTACATAAGTATAGTGTAATTTTTGAATCACAACATTTCAGTTCGACAATTGGACCCTAGAAAGCGATGGTGACTTTACTGGTGAGGATAGTGACGTGCTCGCGGAGAAATCGAACGTAAGAGCAATGGATGTTCACAGCACTGCGGTTTTAGTGGATGACATAAAAAAGAGGTAAGAAGAATTTGTGTAAACGAATTGTCATCACCATTACCTTGAAATATTGAACAGCTTCTAAAATAAATCAGCCGACCAGTGAAAAATTTGTCATAAACGTTTTTCAGCTATGGCGATTTCAACGCTGTGAAAGGTGTGACGTTCCACGTAAGAACCGGCGAATGTTTTGGATTGTTGGGAGTCAACGGAGCCGGCAAAACCAGCACATTCCAGATGTTGACCGGAGAGAATGATATCACCGAGGGAGATGCGTTTGTGAATGGATGGAGCGTAAAAACGGACTGGAAGAAGGTATGTATTCTCAGGTTCTCGCTTCTTAGTTCCCTGGCAAATCCTACGATGAAAATAACCAAAAGCTGATAAGGTTGGCGAGTATGGGCAAAACTTTGGTCACATACAAGCTCGGATAACTAGAGACCTTTTGAAAGCTTTCATCCTTTAAAAAAACCCAGAGGTTTTGATAGCATCAGAAGGTTTCAGAGCTGAGAGGTTGAAGTGAACCTGAACGTGTTTGATAATAGATGTTGATAAGGTTCTTATGATTACGATGTCGAATGAAAGCTGCATTGGGAACTCCCATCTTCAAAAGCCGTGGTCACTTTAGAATCCCGCCTATCAATCGAAAAAAGAACGGTGAATGGTGGTATTACCTTTTTTTAGGCTGGTGCCAATATTGGCTATTGTCCACAATTCGATGCCGTTCTCAAAGAAATGACTGGAGAAGAAACGTTGTACATGTTTGCACGAATTCGTGGGATTCCAAGAAAGGACATTCCAGAAAAGGTACGGTTTCTGTATACTCCACTCCTCTATCCTTCTATTCGTCAATGTTCCTTGTGCTTACTAACATAAATGCTACCAGTGCTGCTATACTGGAAACTGAAGGTATTACAAAAAGGTATAGGTACTATATGTTTCTGAATTTTCCACGGATTCCCCTCATCATAAAACTCTTCAAATGACTTTTATCTGGGTCCATCAGGTCGTTGAGACATGGTTCTCAAACTTGCTGCCCCAGTATTTATGTCTTTGGGAGCAATTCGGATGTTTTTTCCAGGTCAACGCTGTCATTCAGACAATCGGTATCGGAATGTACGCCAAGCGGCAGATCAAAGGCTACAGGTAGCTTTGAATTGCCGTCCTATTTATTCCTAAAATTCAAAAATGACTAATAACAAAAGTTATGTCAAATTACCGAAATTATCAAGGAATTGATGAGAAATACAGAGGAAATGAAAACATCACAATAATGAGAGGAACCGGTCTTGTTTGTATAACTTCGCACTCAAAATGTAGGAACGTTTTGGATTTAGTGGTCCAAAGCGTTCGGGGCGTGTTGAGATGATGCGTGGTTCCCTGTTCACGTTAGCATCATTTCTTCTTTTGAACGAATTTTAAGAGGTCTGATCACAAAGAATAAGTTCGTCATTGGCGACCTCTCACCCTTTTGCTGTCTGTGGCACAGGCTAAAAAATATTAGGTTGATTCATATTTATTGCGAATTTTTTCGCGGTTTTTACTCCCGATAGAATTCGAATTTTGAGTTGGGGTGTTTTTCTAGAAATGACCTACTTTTTTTCCTCTATAAGAATATACTCAAAAAACCATCCGCATATTCGCAAAATTAGGCTTTACTACTTCGAGAATCGATCGCGATCTCGGTAACTTTTCGGCGATCGTTCATTAGTGATCTAGTGAAGGTACACATGATTTTCTGGCAGTTAAACACGATTATTTTGATATTTTCTATTTCCCCTGCATTTTACCTGACTCTATATATTAGGTTGATGCATAATTACTGCGGATTTTTTCCAGCAAATTTTACTTAAGAAACTATAGAAATACTGAGCAAAGACATATTCAAATAGTTACTCTGGAACTTATTCACCAACTACGTCAAGCACTGCTTCCCATTGATAAGTTAGCCGGATCCCAAAAGCGAAGAAGTTTTGATCCTTACGGGCGATCCACGCCTTGACATCGGCCATCAAGTCATCCAAATCGACGTAACTCCTATTCTCTAGTCATTTTTTCGATGAACGGTTGACGAGATAATCCATAAAAGTTTCTGCAGGTGAATATGGCAGATTAAGGGGCAGATCCCATTTCTTGGTTGGTTCTGGCTCATTGTTCGATCGCCGAAAAGTCACTGAGATCGCGGAATGACTGCGCCACATTCCAATCTTTCTCAAAGTAGTTAAGCCTCATTTCGCGATTATGCGGATGGTTTTTTGAGTATATTCTTGTATTGTAGAGGAAAGCAAGTAGGTCATTTCTAGAAGAAACCCGAACTCAATATTCGAATTCTGTCAAGAGAAAAAAAGCCGCGAAAAAATCCGCAATAGTTATGCATCAACCTAATAGCATTTAGACCCTTTCCCTCTTTTTGACTACACTTTGGAAAAGGTTGATACTCACAATAAGTGACGAAGCTGACTCCGAAGAATAGCACGTGAGACAGCGCCGTGTCGAAAACCGATGGGCGTTTTTCTCACTTTCTCCACAATTATTGCTCCATTCTGCCCCATGACCTCTAATACTTTATTTGAGCACTCAACCTAAGAATTATCGTGAGGTGTACCTTTATGGGCGCTGTGTATTCCAAAGGACTCTATCTAAAACAGCCTTTCGAAGTCGATTGGGAGAAGCTTTTCAAATAGTTTGCCACGTCCTGAATGATTATATTAATTTAATCGTTTCGAAAAACTCACGATTGAAGGTTCTTCATGAGTAAACTCTTCCAGTGGCGGAAATAAACGGCGACTGTCACTCGGAATTGCACTAATCGGGCTACCACCGGTCCTTCTTCTCGACGAGCCAACTACTGGTGTCGACCCAAAGGCACGGCGAATCATCTGGAATATTTTCACGAAGGTGATATCCATTGCTACATTAATTAGCTCTAGTTGAAAAATTGCTCTTTGAAAAGAAAGCTTGTTCTACTCTTACCTAACTGAACTTTACTATTTGGATGTGCATCGATTGTCCCGCTAAAATTTGTGGTGAAATAAGTGCTTTTCCTTACAAGTCATCCATTTTTAGGTACAAAGCCTAGGCACAGCACTGGTACTCACCTCTCACAGTATGGACGAATGTGAGGTACTTTGTACGGAACTAGCCATAATGGTTTACGGTATGTTCGCAAACTTCTGTTAAGAAACAATCTTGTTAGTCTATGAGAACGGGTCCATTTAGGGAGATTCAAATGCTATGGGAGTTGCCAACACATAAAAAGTCGATACGGAGCCGGCTTCACATTGCTGGTGCGCCTTCGCCGACGTGAGGATGCTGAAGGAGTGAAAAGTGCAATACAACGAAATTTCCCTGGAGCAGTTTTAAAGGTGAGCCCAAAAGGCTTCATGAATACTCAGACTTATACCCTGCGTGAGATAAACGTAAGATGTGGCTTCCTCGATCGCTATGCTTTCAATCATGATTTCACCTTCATCGGACCAACGGTTCTTGATGAACTGCCTTTTTGTTTGGCCGATCTGCTTTCCCATTTCTTTCTTGCTCAATTCAGTGAGCATCGTCTCGTTTCCATTTGCTGTTTGAGAAAAGAGTGAATTCGTCGGCAAAGCGCAGATTCAAATTTCAGCCTTAAATCCTCATAGATTTGCAAAGAATGTGCTGATCCAAGAACAACCAATGTTTCAGATGTATTTAAGTCTTATTGGCGCCTGATGTTGTTTCTTGGTATGTCAGGGGAAGCAACGTTAATGGCTTACTTACACTTTTATAAAGCCTGAGCCTGAAAGCAATGACTCGCTCGACGGCTATCCAAGGTTAAAGAAAGCATGCTGTTCTTGCTACTTGTCTAAGGATTCTCTTATATACCTGATCACTAGAGAGAGAGACTCTGACCCTTAATAAGAGACGCCCTGCTTAACACCACAACACCATTAATCAAAAACGTCAGCCAAGCCTAACCTGAACTCTCGGGAAGAGTTTAAGTCATCACTTACTTGCCTCTGATCTAATGCGCCGATTCTAGGAGCACCATCTTCTCCAGCTGAACTACGAATTACAAAAACGCCCCGGTATGACATGGTCACTGTTGTTCGACAAGATGGAAGAACTCTCGAGAGAGTTTTATTTCGAGGACTATTCCCTTAGTCAGACAACGTTGGAACAGGTTTGTCTAGCCATAAGTGACAAATTTTGATATTTTTCTATCATATACCCAGTCAAGAAGCCAGTTCCTGCTTCCAGCCATCTTTGTCCCAAAAGCAAATCACTGATACACTGATACAATAGCTGAAATCCACCACCACTCCCAGTCGACGGAGCGTGCCGTTCCCTCTAGTAGCATGAAAATAAATCGAAGCTGTCAAACCACATCGTTTGGCTAAATCAGCTGCTCTTCATTTTCGCAGTTCTTCCCCAGCAGAAAACATTCAGTGCGCGCCAACTCACGGGAAAGGTAGTACCATGCACTTAGAATATATTGGGTTGTAACATAAGTTCGTAGAGTTTTTTCACAAAGATTTATTTGAACCAAAAAACAATAATTATAATAATAAATTAACAAATGGTGTATCTTCCGTTACTGTTCACGACCTCCTACCATCTCTCGACCAATTTGTTGATGGCGATTCGCCGAAAATCGGCCGTTGTGGTGTCGAAGAATGTTGAGCCGGCTTTTAAGGTCCCCTTCGCCATCGAAGGTAACACCCCTCCTTGGGTTCAACATAGAGCGGAAAAGGTGATAGTCGGCAGGTGCAAGATCCGGAGAGTGCGGTGGATGCTGAAGAACTTCCCATTCAAGCTCTTGGAGTGCTGTTTTGACGACTTGAGTAATATGGGGTCTGGTGTTGTGGTGGAGCAAGATGACTTGACCTCACCTATGAGGTCTTTTCAGCCGAATAGCCTCATTTACACTGTTCAGCTGGGTAATGTAGACCTCCTTGTCTACATTGGCGTTTCGGTCGAGCAGTTTCCCAGTGCACCATGCCTACCCAGTCCCACCAAACGCAGATCATGACCTTTTTTTGGGTGAAGATCTTGCTTGACTCTCGGCTTTGGCGCCTTTCCTGGGGCCACCCACACCTTTGAGTAGACACACCTAAGACACCTTCCCCGTACACACTGCATATGTCCGAAGCGGTTTCGGCTGCTTTTTTGACCTCGACGAGAAGCAATGAAAAGCAGATGTCGAAAATGCTAATTTTTCTTCCTGGATATTCCATTTCTGAGCCCGAAAAAAGACGAACAATTTAATTATCCTAAAAAGAAATGAAACAGTTTTGTAGAGGAGAAAAAGCTCTTTTAAATGAATGTATACACTTTGCTGAAAAACAAAATAATTCGTTGTAAAGTAACTCTAACGCAAAACCCTACGAACTTATGTTACAACCCAATATCTTTAAAGGCACAGTTCATGATAATTTTGGGTAATCCAAATTATGATAAAGTGGAAGACAAGATCGAAAATAGTGCATCTGAGGTGAAGAAACTGCGTGCATCGGTGTTTCCAAAGTAAAAAAAAGGCTTCGAAAAAACGTTTAAAAGGGGACTGGACGAGAATGAAACTAGAACAATGAAGAAGAGTGGTGCGTCCGGACGTGCTAAACAGTGTGTTTCACTGCGCGCCTGTGGGTCTTGGTGCGAATAACAGACAATGGTAAGCAGAAATTCATTCACTTTTAAGCATAAATAAACAAAAAACCCTGGTAACAGCAAAAGTAGCTCAACTTTTTCAGCCTCTAGGAGTATCACCTGTATCACCTGTACTCCCGTTGATCGTCGATTTCCTCGA